AATTTGCGGTTTCTGTTATTTTTCTCTCCTCTATACAAACCTCAATCACACAGTTTTTACTTTATTATACTTCGTGCCGGTCAAACTTGACACAGTTTTAAGGGACGAATCAAGTAATGTATAACCTTAAATAAGCAAACAACACTATGATCACGTATAGATCAAAGGATTGAACAACTAAACAAGTATCCAACCAGGCAACCATCAAAGTCAACACACCAACACCAAATTGATTAATTGATAAAAAAATTAAAAGTAATGTAAAGAGGTTTATATCCATTAATTAACGGTGTGCGGCTAACCTTTTGCCTCTTAGGCTGGGACGGGCAGAGCATCTCAGGTTATTGGGGGCAACCCATTTTTTTAATTGGGGGCAATATTTGGATTTTTAAAATTTATAAAGAAATTAAAGGAATTTAGTAGGTCCTTATTGGGGGCAGCTGCCCCCACTCAGCCATGAATAGATCCGCCCTGTACACTAATCAAGATTCAAGATTGCATAAAGATTCGTCATAGTTTAACAAGATTACAATGCAAGTAAAACAAATACGTTTAATAGTAAACACATAGGCTGAATTGGTTGCAGTAACAGAGAAATATGACTCAGCAGTTGACAAGCGCAACCATTTACACCTACCCGAAGCACGTAAACTCTCCACGGCACACATTTCCCCGTTTGAGAAACTTCAAATTCCCGTTTCGGGGCCGTTTCCGTAATTAAGAAGAATTAAAAAACTCATTTTCCTAAATAATTAGCGTTTAAGAAATCTCGGGGTTTCAAATTTTTTCTTTTTTAAGAGATCCTATTATGGAAAACATCATCTTTTTTCAAACAAATAGTGATTTTTTGTGTTATTTCTTCGTCGCATCATTGCGGCATTTCATAACGCAATGCATAATGCATTGCTACGATTTATAGATTATAATGTTATGTAGATTTATGTATTGCTACGATTTATAGATTAAAACGTTTTTATGTATATAAAAAAGGATAACCTAAATTAATTTGAACCTAAAATTACTTAATTTGAAAAAAATTAATCACGAAAAGATCTGATAATAATCAAACAAGGTTATTAAGATCTATTACGAACTTTCATTCATACACTATAGTTAATACATCTATTATCCATATAGGCACAAATCAAAACAGAAAAATCTCATCTTTTATTAGTTGTTGGACAAATAATAGATGAGAATGTTATAAAAATATAACTAAAACGGGTATTCCCCACCCCATACCCGTAACCGCTCCGTTACCCGTAAAAACAAAACGGGTATTTCTCGCCCCGTACCCGTTACCCAATTAATGCAGTTTTCATTGTTTTGATTGGGCAGTTCGGTGCGGGTATCCATCAGATCGGTCACAATTGCCATTTCTAAATGCATTGCGACGATTTATAGATTAAAACGTTATGTAGATTTATGCATTTTGCTACGATTTATAGATTAAAATGTTTTTATGTATACAAAAACATACATTCAAATCATTGACAAAACGTTATCCTGATTCAAGGTTGTAAAGGTGAACATCTGTCTAAATAGCCATTTTCATGCTCTAATTCTCCTTCTTCATCTCTAAATTTCATTTTGATTTATTTTTCCCTAAAGCCTGATAAATTCCTGCGAAAAATATGAAGAATCGTGCAAAACATGATAAATCAAATGTTAGCACATGTTTAGTATTAATGTTACTAGTACTAACATGATTGTCAGATTGTGATTTGTGTGTATATTAATCTCGTTTTTTCACATTGATCCTATTATCCACTAGTGATTATATTGGTTTTAATATGTTTGTGATATGTGAGGATCTTTTTATTATAGTCTAACTTGACTATAATAAAACGGTTGTATTATGCGGAGTTGTGATATGTCTGTTACTAGGACTTGACTTGGATATACTGTTGTAAACGGTCGTACACAGTAACATTTCTTTTGGTATTTTACTTTTTAAGCATTTAGAGCATCTTTAACGGAGAAGTAGATTGCACCCCATTAAAAATGAACACATCACATGTATAGAAAGCTCGTGAAGGTGATATGGACACACACATTTAAAATAATATATTCGTGCTCCAATGGGAATGTGAGTTTAAGAGTTAATTAGTTTCCTATTCATTCCCAAAGTGCATGACAAAAAAATAACTTACCCAACTTATACTCCATATTCAATATTGGGCTTAAATTAAATGTTTTGCTGATTCGGGCAGTCTATCACGCTTTCCAGAAGTAGAAGGCGAGGCAGATGGAATCGATTTTTTCCCATTCCATGTCACCACAGTACGGATGATCCATATTTCCATTGGAGAGATACTTTTACCCTCAATTTGATGTGGCAATGCATTTATAGGCAATTCATGGTGCCATTAAAGATGCTCTAATAGTTATATTATGCGGAGTATATTCCTAAAGTCAATGTTATGGGAATGGATTCCTTGAGTAGCAATCCTGCAGGCCGGCCTGACAGGAATTCATTCCGTTCAGCTGGGGTATTTGGGGCCCTTCTCGGTAGCATTTTTTGATGAATTTTTTTTTAGCATGTTCATTATCAAGTCTAGTTTATTCATACCAAATTTCAGCTAAATATTCAATCAGAAAGATCTGATCTGCCCTTTGGATTCCTCCAATCAAGTTTGAGTTATATTTACGAAGTACACAAAAAGAACATTTTAGTTGTATACTTCCTACTCCCTCATCCCTTAAACTTCGTTAACTTTCTTTTTTGGATGTCCCACCAACTTTGCCATTTTCCCTTTTAAGTAAAGAATTTTTGATTCCATCACAAAACTCTACCACACAGTTTTTACTTTATTAATCTCCGTGCCGGTCAAACATGACAAAATTTTAAGGGATGGAAGTAGTATTAAACTAAGGATATGCTAAATGCCTATAAGCCTTTGGAGTTTGGACCAACTCTTTCGAGCCAGATATATGTGCTAGAGTTGATTGGATGGTTCAGCTAATATATGTACGCTATTTAGGGCATCTCCATCCATAGATTAATTTTGGGATCATTTTGATGACATGGATGATTTTTTTTGAGATCATGGATGAGGATTTATAAAATAATCTGGTATCAAATTCTAAAATTGAATTATTTTCAACTTTTACACTTTCCTCTCTATTTTCTAGGCATATACTCATAATTAAAAAATCTAGGTAAATTAAGATCATAGATAAGGAGAAATTGATAGGTCTGGAGATTATTTGAGATAATCTTATATGGAAGTGACATGACAATAAAAACTATAAAAAACCGTAAACTTGAGTATTATGAATGAAGACGCTCTTACACTAGTAGCTAAGAGTGAACCCCTTCAAATATATACTCCGTATGATTTAATGCATCTTCATCACCATTTGACTCTATACCGTAGTATAACTTGAATGAGATGTTAAAGCTCTTTTTTCATTGAAAACTGATTTTTATACGTAGTAGTGAATAGTGATCCACTGCTCCGTATATTATAATCTTTAATTCTCGTCTCATAAATTTGTCAAAATTGACTTGCATATGGATTAAGAAAATAAACTTGTGCGATCCAGATTGTTGCATTGGACAGAAATAACGTTTAGTGCTTATTTGTGACGTTAAATGGATATAGCATATCTTTATACCGTTAAATCAAGAAAGTTGACAAAATCTTGTGAGGGGGAGTGAAAATAATATGTAACAAGTACTCTCTTTTTATGATTTAAATATTTTATTTTACTAACTACTAGTATATGTCTATATTATGTTTGTTTGTAATTAATATATTTCATTTTAAATGACTGAAATGAATTTTATGTTGTATATCTTGTATTCATGTGTATCATGTCCAAAAGGTAGGGGTGAGCATGGAACGGTACGAGACGGTTATTTAAGAAAACTTGTCTCGTCCCAAAGTACGCTTCTTTTAAAAAAAAAACCGGTACCATCCCGAATAAATATAGAACTTGTCCTGTTCCGTACCAATTTTCGGTACGGTTCGGTACGGTTCTTCGGTACTATTCAATTTCTAAATTATTAACTCCCACAAAGTAAAAAATATTTTAAGTTTTAGCATTAATAACTAACTATACAAAAATTGAAGAGAAGAGACTGCAAGATCAAAATCAAACATAACTGAAATACAAAACTAATAGTCAAAACTATAATAACGAAGGTTAACATTCAACTAAAAATTCGAAAGTGAGACCCAAACTCAAGAAACAAAAGGTATGTCTTCACATAACAAATATAATATAATATAATATATAATATAATATTTGAGTAAAGCTTGGTTCTTTATAATGTCATACGGTTTTATATTTAATATTATATATATATATATATATATATTTATATTATTCTATATATATAGCCATTTTTTCGGGACGATACGGGATGGTCTGGGACAGTTCGGTTCAATACGGTTCGGGACGGTTCTGGAACGGTGCTCACTTAAGAACCGGTACCGTACCATATTAATAAAAAAAATTGGTACGATACGGTATTATATTTCTCCTGTTTCGTTCGGTTCTAGTACGGTTCGGAACGGTTCTCGGTACGGAACGGGAAATCCCAGATCCGTGCTCAGCCCTACCAAAAGGAATGTGCCACTATAAGACGCGTACAATATGAAATGAGTATATGAGAATGAAGTTACATGGACTCTTAATTACAGAGTATTAATTATGGCGAATAAATTTTGAGTGTTCAATGTTCTTTTAATAGACATTTAAAGGGTAATAAATAAATATAATAAAATTTATACATATGTATATATACCTACAATTTTTTACAAAAACTGGGTGTTCATGTGAACTAGTTTGAACAAGTGTGGCTCCGCAGGGGTATACACTATTTTCCTTTTATAAATCGTGTTGCTAGTACATTTCTTCCTATTACTGATTAGTGTAGATAAATCACTAAGGGAAATAAAGTACAAAAAAAATTTATCTACAACGGAACAGTGTAGATATACATTTCTTCCTTTTATAAATCGTGTTGCTAATACAGAAGTAAAACATACTCTGTATTTTTCACTTCTCAAGTACAAAAATCAGGGAAATAAAGTTTTTCATTGGGACGACGGTCTGGTAACCCTCACGCAGGGTTTGTGTTTTTGCCGACCTCTGTGTTCGGTGTGGGTTTTGATCGATGAAGCAAGTGTGGTGGTTGATTGATTTTCTCAATCTTGGGCTCTGGTTTGTCGGCGACGTGCTGGGATGTGATTTTATTCTGGAGTATCCTCTACCGCAGGTGTTCATTGGGTCTCGCTCGGCGAGGCGCTACCGCACTGGTTCGGGGGGATGCATTGATGGATGGCGTCGACGGTCTCAGCGAGGCGCTACCGCACAAAGATTGATGGGCGGAGCACATGGCCGAATGCTGGGTTTCTTTCTACGTGATGGCAATTTGAGATTCAATTTGGGATGGAAATATTTCTTCTCTTTCATAGGTGTTGCAATTCATAATGAGGGTGCAGGGCAGAATGAAGGTGGATCAAGGGAGCAGAAGAGGAGACGCACATGGGAAGCACAAGAGCTGGGTTTTGAGGAGGATGGTATGGCTCTTGACAAGGCAAAAAACAGGGAAGGGGCGGGCTGGTACCTCCAGACCCGCCCAAATCCATGAAGTTCTGGTGCTTTCTGCAGACCGAAGAACAATTCAATTTTAGTCTTGTTATTTTTTTTTGTTTACAACTACGTGTGTTTTTGCTTGTGTTCGGTTTTACTAGCGTTGAAACTCTAGAACTTAAGGTAAGTGATGGGAGCCTAGTTTGCCAGTTACTTGCTCAGATAAGTCCAATTCAGGATCAACGAACCTGGTTGCTTCTTTTGAGGTGGCAGGTTCTAACTTCTAAGTCTGGTTCAAGGGTGGATGATAGACAGTGGACTCTTGGTCTGGTTGTATACTGCTTGCGTTCTTTCTTATTAATATAAGTCATCTTCTTTAAAAAAAAAAGTACAAAAATCAAAAGTGTTGCAACAAAAAAATCTGTAGAAGTGCAAACATGATACATTTTCGTCGCAAATTGTTAGAAAAAGATACCAAAAAAGAGAATTCATTAGGAGATGGACAACACAAAACAAAGACGTTTTACAAACTCACAAATTTGACCTAATTACAAGTGAGGCCCTACTTTTTTGCTTTTGAGAAGCTAGTGTGAATAAAATTTGGCAATCAAGTGATGACTTGCCATTACGGAACGATAAATCCGTAAAAGAAATCCATTAGTTCTCCTTAAGCAATCAAATTCCTATTTACCTTTTACCCAAATACCAAAACCTCACTCAATTCCAATTTGGAATTTAGCTCCTCTCTAGTGACTGAAATTTTCCTTGTGAAAAAGATGGTGAGAGAGATTAAAAAAAGGAATAACTTGATTTTGCACTTCATTTTATTGTCCAAATTGGATTTTGCACCCCATTTTTATGAAAATTGTATACACCCTAACCCGTATGAAAAGACAAAATGCCCCTTCATTAACTATTCTGTTGGCCTTCAACATATTCCAATTTGGACGATAAAATGAGGGTGCAAACTCAAATTACTCCGTTAAAAAATGGTGTCGTAAGGAAAAATAAAAGATGAGGTTTAATTATTTAAGGAGAGATAAAGTAAGAAAGAAATGAATAGGAGTATGTCAAGGAGGTCACATCATCGAAACTCTCAAAGATCTAACAGATATTATAATAAAAATGAGTATATAAAAAAAACTAGCATATCACACAGACATACGGAGTAATATTTTGTAACATATTTTTTGTGTTCGCAAATGTACTTTGGAAGGTGATTCCATATTCCTTCTGTTTGTAACACCATCCAAATTAGAATAGAAGATACAGAAAAAAAAACAGGTTTTACCTTATATGAAATTTTACATTAATTAAGATTTTTTTCTTTCTAAAATACCTAGATTGCTCTTCCACTTAAATCAATCCATACGAACAACTCCTCTTACAAGTTACAACTCTCATCCAGGCAACTTAAATGGGATATGAAGTGCAAATCTATCTACACATGTAAGATTGTTTGACCAGATTCGTTTGGGGCGCCATTTACGGAGTACTTCCTCCGGGGTACCCCGAGGAAGAGAGTTTGATGTTGCAAGCCCTCTGAAGAAAGAGGAGAGGATGTGGAAGAGTCACGGGCTGAGCAGGAGTATAAGGAGGGCGACGGTGGAGCAGAAAGTTGTGGTGTAGTGAAGCCAACACGCTTGAAAGTATATGGTGGAGGCCGGGGTAGATTGGATATTTAAAATAGTTTTATTTATATATTTATTGTGGAGGCTTTATTTAGTAAAGCAGGGATGTGAATAAGAGACCGTTTGATGACCCATGTTTTTTGACTTATCAATTTTATCGAACATTTTTTTTTTCAAAAAAAATGTGACTTTTCATTTCGCACATGAATTGTGTGATAACAAAAAAAAGTAAGGTTACAATTTCTTTTCTAGCTAATTGGTTGAGGTTAATGTAGATAATTATTTTAGCTATTTTTTCAAATATTTTTGTCTTTATTAACAAAATATATTTATATACTACCTCCGTCCCTTTTATATTGGTACGGAGGAGGGTGGCACGATTATTAAGAAAAATGGGTTTGTGTGTTTGATATTAATTGATAAAGAATAAAGTAAGAATAATTTAGAACCACACAAACTTTACTAAATATGGTATGAGACAATATTAGTGAGACTTCTCAAAAAAGTAAAACGGGACAATATAAGGGAGGCGGATGGAGTATAATTTTTTCATAATTCAATAGATTCAGTCACTTTAACCAGATTTTTATCAATTTCAGCAGAATCAACCGATTAAGCCAATTACAATTTTTACAAAAAAAAGAATGACACCTCTAAACAATACTCCGTAATGAATACCCAGAGAACATACGGAGTATAATATAGACACACATAATGACCCTCCCTAGTTCCTAACCCGAATGCAGTAATGCACCACCACCATGCATTTGGGACTCTTGAATTGAAGTCGTCGGTTGCGCTATTATTTTCATCACATAGAATGTGGCACAAGGAGAACTGTTTATGACCTAGGAACTCGTGTTACAATCCCAAGGTCTAAGAACCCCACGGAGGATTCAATTCAACCGGTAAACGAAAGTATTAAGCTTTTAAGCCTTTGGAATTCAAATTCTCAAGTGCAGATAACATTCTGAGACAATTGTTCTACATGATCTGCTCAAACTATACAATCACTATTACAGTACAACTGAATGGTGAGCATGTCTACTCCACACGGATGAATTTGAATGACAACTGAAAACCGTATACATATATTTGCGACAATCAATACTTTTTCTATACCTCAAGAATCAGAAGAATTCAAGGAATTAGTAATTAGTTCCCCCTCTTCAGACAGTGAGCTGCAAGAAAGCCAAATGCATGGGTTAACTGTACCGAAGAGTGAAACAGGTAAGAAAGACATGTCGTAGAGAGCAACAGTGGATTTTTTGTGTGCTATCTAGTAGGAGTAAAATGGTGAAGAAATGAGTAGAGATTAGGAGATTTATTTCACTCCATAAGAGAGAAGGAACGAAAAGGAGGTGGAACCCACCATTTTGTTCTCTCCTCCCTATCTCTCTCTTATTACCAAACGAGAGAGATACCTTACTTTTTCTGTACTTCTTTCCCCTGCGTTTCTTCTACACCATATACGTACCAAACAAAGCCTTAAGGATGTCGAAGAAGGAGTTTAGAAGGGATGGCTTTAGAGGGCTTGGTCTAATCTTGAAACAAAATATTACTAAAAAGAATCACGTTTGATTGAAATGTCATATGATCACATATTTTGTTAAACTTGCTTTTTTTTATAGAAAATCACACACACACCATGATATAGACTTAGCCCTCCATAATCCTTCATCTAAGCATACCCCCTTAGATTCATGAAAGGAGTGGAATTGACAATATTATGCAAAGAATAGAAGTGACAATATTATACCATTATCCCCCTCTCAAGGCAGCAAACCGGGCAGCCAAATCTTCATAGTCTGGTAATTTTGGATGGACATGGCGTGCCTGATGGTCTGGCTGAAAGGAATTGGCACGTGCATACACCTTTGGTGTTTCTGAAGGAGAAGCCTGCTCATGCGGGAGAGAGATAGATCTTGTGGGGTGAGGAGGCGCACCACCAGACTTCATTTCCTGTGGTGTTTTATGGGTATTATTATCAACATCTCTCTGGTGTGAAGGCTTTTTCCTCAACTTATCTATGTCGTAGTCGGATGGTTTCCGACTATAGTGCAGAAGGAGTTTATCTATCATCACTTCCTCCTCGTCTCGATGTCGGTGGGGCTTACCATCATGATCCCCCACAGACTTGGGACGGCTACTCCTGACTGATTTCGGTTTGTGCAAGGGAATCTCATCCTTCAAAGCAACCTTGGTATGTTCTGATTCTTTACCATGGGAAGAGACACCAATGAGATACCCATTCGATTCAGAATGTTCAGATCCCCTGCTGGTTTTGTCTTTTGATTTGACATAGGGAGGAGGACGTCCATAGCCACAATGAGATTTTAAGCTATTATTATTATTATTCTCCTCATCCAGCAGCTCTTTAGTTGAGATCGCTTTCTTCTTTTCACTGACATCGCCGTATTTAATATTTTCCCGTTCTGTCTTTTCATGTTCACTATACACACCATTTGTCCCCTGCCTCCGCTGATGAGAATTATCATACTTCTCCATTTTGTGAGCTGGAATATCATTCTTTTCTGAAGCAGAATGGCTTCTTTCCTTGTTGGCAACTTGCTTAAATTCATTAACCCTTTCTTTCTTCCCAAATGAATGAACATCTTGCTTGCCATTAATGTCTCGCCCTTGAGTCTTTATCTGGTTATCCTTAGAAGCCTCGGGTTTTCCTACTGATAGAACATTTTTCGCAATTGTTTTGGAGACAATGCCCTTTTGGTTACCTTGGTTATAGTTTCCAGGAGAGTGTGAAGGTTCAATCTTGTTTGGCTTTCCCTGAAAATTAAGCAGCGTATGCAAACAAATAAAGATGTATTTTATTTAATGCTACATATTTATTTATATATAATGGCCAAAATGAAATCTTGTCAGGCACAATTGTATACAGTATCTTTTCTTGTTTCTTTTAGGTTATGTATGGAACACGGAAAATGGTAGGGTAAAGACTAAAGTCGAAAATGAATATGGTTTTAAAATGTTTGGTTTACCTTGTGAAGTACAAAGGAAGGATTAGTACTTAAATTAAAATTTTACCTTCATTTAGATTTGCTACTCATATGGTCCGAATACAAAAATAAAATGAGTGAACAAGTATCTAAATTTGATTTACAGAGCTTAAATGAATTTTTAATTTTTGCTAGCACTTCTCAGGTTGTAAACAAACCCTTAAAATTGATAGTTGCATGCTATATACATATATACCTCTGCGTATGCCATCCTCTGTTGAAGGCCTGCTGAGTCCCATCGTATTTGAAATTCTGAAGCTATGTCTTGCAATAGCTGGATTCTCTTCTCCATGGCAGGTGTTTTTGAAGATAATTGCTCTACAAACTAGCCACAATGACTAGAGCTAGTGAGAAAAACTAAACGATGTGTAATTCAACACATCATATACATGAATTGTGGAGTTGCTGATTTGCTAACCTTCTGATTAACAAAACATTCTAAGCCACTCCCATATTTCTCCAAAATTAGATCCCTGATATCGCGTAATTCTGGCAAATCAGAGAATCTTGCAGCTGCAAACATAAGGGAAGCCACAGCTTCTCGGCATTCTTCAGGGCAATCACTGGAACACAATTGAATAAAAAAGTGATAGTCAACAGTAATGGGACCATACCAAAATATATCCTACGCATTGTTCTTTTCTAAGATTGGTTTCTGTACACACCAATCACCATTGTACAAACTTTTAAATCTTGAATTCACTAACTTGTTCATCGCAAAAAAAACACCATCAT